ACAAGAGTATTGCGTCCTCCCTTGCGTATTTCAGCGCGCATAAAGCGCACGGAAATTAAAAAACGATTGGTGCGTGCATTTCAATGATTGTTGAAAAATGCGGGAGATTTTCTGGCTGACAATTCCGACGGTGTTACGTCGTACGTGGTAATTTACGGTTGCGGAAATCGCGTTCTGCGTCCCGCCAAGTTATGTGAGAAGTTGCGTGAGTCTCCTATCGCGTAGCGCTATCTTAATGCGTTTTTGGTGCCTAGAAAGGTGCGGCGCGACGTTGTAAGACAAAAGGGCCGAGATAACCGCAAATTGGTGCGCCCGTTATCTCTAGACGCTGCGTTAATTATCTCCATTTTATAAGCATCCGCAGACGCTCGTAAGATAGCAAACAACGAGGTGCCCGGACGTATTCGAGCACCTCATTTACGTAGCACAGAGATGCGGTGAGTTGTTTCGGAGTATGTTGGCTTTGCATGAATAAACACCCGGCCATTTCGTTTCAGCGGCGAGCTCCGTTCGCCCCGTTCGCCCCGTTGCCGAAATTACGCTACGGCATTACCCGGGCAGCGGGAGCGGAGGATCCGAACTGAAATGCCCGTAACGAGCGTTTCTACTTTCGCGATCTACGCCCGTACGCGAGGACGGCTGGTTCTTCTACGCCGCCAGATCTTGCCGTTACGATCGCGTACATTTTACTCCACACTCGAGTCCATCAGCGCACGCCAGATAATCCCCACAAAATACGCTTTCGCATAACACATTCGCGTATCTCGTGCGCGCGCGCGCTATGTTATTCAATCATACATTTACGACACTCAGCCGTGCTTCCCTTCGGGTCTTATTAATAGCACTTAGGCGCATTTACATTGAGTTATTACCCGCTGCCCGTTGGCTTGTCGCGAGATCGGTAATCACCTGCGCCTCCGTTTGGCCTCGCTGGCGTTCACGAATGATCGATCGACATCTCGTGCGGCCGAACGATAGCGATCCTCCCGCCGTCGTTTATTGCTCACACCGGTAATGATGTTAATGGTCGTGCTGGATGCCCGATTACGTGGCGGCCAATAATGTTTCTCGCGCGCGGTGAATGAAAAATGTGTTTGAGCCGGGTAAATAAACGTCAGAGGGACCGTCTCGCGAAAGCGAAGCTGGATCGTCCCGTTCCGAAGAGCCCATTTGGAAAATAAGGCCTCCGCGATGCACTCGCATCGCTCGCATCGTTACTTATCGCGTATTTTTAATCGATCGGCAGATTAAAAACGCAGACACTGGTGGCTGATTTGGAAACGGAACGAGAGGGGGTGATTTTACTTTTTGTTTGAAATTATGAAGTTGAAATTACTACCACGGTGTAACTTGCAAAGTCACGCGCTTCCAATACGCATAATCCTATTGTTCAATACCATCGTTGTGTGTCGTGTGGCGCAGCGGCGATGATCGGCGGCCGGCCCGTGTTTTCGAGAGATTAAACGTATCTCGTTGCGAATAAACAGAGTTGGAAGGCATTTAAAATATTAATTAACTGGCGCACGAAAGATAATGTACATATCAAAAGAATATTTATTTTCAATGACCTACATCGCTATTCCACTCAGTGATTCGAACAATTTGTACTCTTTTATAATTAATTGTCCGCTAATAAGAGAATGCCGAGATACCATTTATTACCGATGCGAGAGACTCTGTTTTGCAAGAGGGCGCCGTTCTACCTTTGAATGTCAATACTTTTTAATTTCCCTTAAAAATTTTACGTCATCCTGAAAACGTACAATTTGCCATGTCGTAATTAACGTTCTCCTCTAAGGTTTCTGTGAATTATCGGCTGGAAATTTTTCTTTAAAACGCTATTATCCTTATCTCTGGCTCAGGGAGCCCCGCTTTCTGCAGCGCGGACACTACAGACGCGATACGAATAAAAAGATCTTATCATATAACTGCGCATAAACGAAAACCCCACGGTGTTTCGGCTTACTTGTTTGGCCGTACAGGTGCATCGCGTGCATTCGTGAAGGTGCGTTAGTCTTTTATCTTGAAATATGTACCGGATGCAATTTCATATTTTATGAGTTTTGCGCGCGCGCGTTTCGCTCAAACGAAGCAACAGTTGTTGCCTTCCCCCGCTGTTGTTTCCTGCCGTAGCCTTGAAGAATGTTGATAATCCACGTTTCTTTAGCTATTCATTGAAATACGCGGCGCACTCTGCTTTCAGTGTGCGTTGTCTATTCTGTTTCTATATAGTCGCGAAAATTTTCTAGTGATGGAACGTTTTATACGTATATGAATACATTATGAAAGAAGAAAAAGAGTAACTTTTTAAAATACGTATATTGATTAACGCATTTAACGCGACGGCTCTTCTTGATAACATTTTCCGATAAATTTCTATATAATATGTTTTTACGTCCTCATTGCACAAAGAATATGCACGAGTCCATCGCGTAGGATTACGAAAATAATATATATGAATGTGCGACGTGATATCGTAGCTTTGTTACGAACTGGAGTCACCGCGAAAAATTCATTTTGTATTATTCATATTAGTTATGCGCGCGGCGTGGAAGCACACCGAATTTTCCGCGAAACGTATGGCTTGTGGCGTCTTGCGAAACCATAGCAAAGCGGAATTTCAGGTTTTCGAAGCACACACGGTGTATGACGATATAAAGTCCGCGCGCGCACAACCGGTGCATAAAGTAAAGCGGACCGGGATGAAAGGAGCGGAGAACCAGCAGGAAACGTGTGTCTGAAGGGTTCGTGTGGAAGCTGCGAGAGCAGCGGTCGGTGCGGATAGAGCGATAGTTGCCTATTTCGCTTTCACTGCTCTGGTTAAACAGAAAAAGAAAGAAGGGGCATTTATTTTGCACTCTAGGTTTATATCCGCTCAAACGGTAGATAAGAGGCACAGATAGACTTTTAACGTGAAACTTTTATCGAATAATTTTAATTTTGTGTGCTCTACAAATTACAAGTGATATTGTTTAAGATACTAATTTATCAAGAAAATATCAAGGATAAAAGGCCAATAATATTATGAGCGGTAATTTTTTAAATAATACATAAAAATTTAGGTATAATAAAGTTAAAAATTATTATGTTTCCCTAATCTGACTCTTATATTGGTATGATAACGCATTTACTTAAATCTAAGTTTGGTGAAGATAAATAACGTACGTTTCGACTTTCACTTGGTCATCTTCATTGTAATTTTTAACTTTATTATACCTAAATTTTTATGTATTATCGTAAAAATTACCGTTAAAAATAAAGACGATATAAATATGTCGGAAAGTTCGTTTTCGCTAAAGAACAGTCCACTTTAAATTGACCAAGTAATACATCTGCAAATTTTGTGACACTGCAATTTAGTTGCACCGTAAATAACGAGCTTTCCTGATGAAGCTAGCTCGAGACTCAGGTTGTAGCGTTTTCAGTAGATTACATGAAATATTTGCGAAAATAAACGGGAGGAAGAAAACGGGGCGGCGATTACGTTTTGACACCAAGATACAGCGCGTGATTTGTATAAATGGAGTATGTCACGGCTGAAAGCGACTCGAGGGAGACACGGCGAGCTATTTCGCTAACGGTTATACCGGTTATAAGGATAGGAGGACGTCGCGCCTTCCGCGGATCCGTCCGAGGACGACGCTATCTTGACGTGACGAATGAGCAGCTTCCCGGGACCATCTCGCGGAGCAGAGAGCGCGGACGCTCGAGAAAATCATCCGCATGTTCCGGGAAATTCTCGAATAAAATTTCTAGTAGATCGTGTGCAACCATACAGGGTGTTTTCCAGATTTCCCACGCTTTTCCTCACACAAGGACTCTAGAGCCATTCGGGGTGGATTTTTCCATAAATGTAAAAATGATACTTTACCCCGATATTTATAATGCAAGTTTTTCTTCAGCAAAATTCCTTTTTAAATTAAAAAAAAAGCGCGATTGCAGACATTTAAAGAAATGGAAAACTGGGCAATTCTAAAGTACTGTCGCATGTAAATTTCAAATTTGTATTTTGCAGAAAATTGCATTTCGAAGAACATTGACTCGACGTTATTGAAAGAGATCACAGAGTACGATAGTGTACGGAAAATCTGAGAAAATCTCCTCGTATCTTGTGTCAGTTGCGTAGTGCACTGTGGATAATTACATTCGTTGCAGAGCTGTATTCGATCTTTGTTTCTACGAATATAGCTTGTTCCGAATTGCATCGGTCACATTAAAACAATCTCGGTATTGATCTCGGTACGAATAAATAGAACTGTTCCTGCAAATTGTTTTGCATCTAGTTTTTCAACCTGCGCTACAGTGTGTCGCGAATGAAAATTTGTGATTTGTTAATTGCAAACTCACGTACCTCCAGTTATGTTTTCTCCGAAACGAATTTTCTTGCAATAAAAAAATTTGCATGACAATATATTAAAACTCATGTTACAATAAGTCTAACCAGTAGTGCGGTGTAGCAATTAATAAATGAATATCTGTTTTTATACTAGGGGCACAAAATGTCTAATGTATCTTATCGGAGAGAAAACATTTTATTCGCCGGTTACTTGAAGAGGGTTGTATCTCCTAGATATTAAATATTACATAATAGGCAATGCAGCCTACATAAATTCAAAGTATGAGGGCCCGTATTTAAAACCGCTGTATAAATTATACAAAATTGAAAGCTAATTGCAATTTGTTGCGCGGTTGTTCGTTGTCGTAATATTTTTGTAGACGCACACCTGATCGAGTAATTATTGTCGCTTGGCATCCGCTGTTGTCGGTAACGGGATGCATGGGGAGTGCGCGAGATTACGCGTAACAAATTGCGACACTAACACAATCGTTTCCTCGGCTTTCCTCGCTGGTGCTCCACCAACGGCAGCGCCGGCATGCAGCACTTAGCCGGGCGTTTACGAAAGCGTCGCCTTTGTAAGATAAACGCGCGACCGAACTTGTAATATCTTGTGACATCGCGCACACGCGCGGTTTAACGTAATGCGTCTTCGTTGTTTCAGCTCGTTCTAACGCACGGAAGGCGCGTATTATGTGAGGAGGAAACCGCGACGAGGGAAACGAAGATGTCCGCCGTCAGCGTCGTCGCATGGTTGCTCGGCGCCGTCGCTTTGGCTGCGATTAATAATGGTGAGTCGTCTTTCTATCTGTAAAAAATCGCGAATGGCAATTGCCTCAAAAAGTCCACAGGTATCGTGTTTTAAGAAGTAATATTTATATTGGAAAGAACTCTACATAAATATATCTCAAATTATTTCTTATAACATATACTAATATATAGTTAGATTGAGTTATTGCTTCCTCAT